CCCTCACTCCCCACCCCCAGGATGATGCGAGCGGGGTTTGTGGAGATGCAGCTCGTGCCGCGCGGCGCGGACCGCGCCCCCAGCCGCAGCTTCTTCACCTGGAGGGTCGACCTCGCGGCCTGCTTCCGCCGCATCGCGGGTGCGCGGCGCTTCGGGCCGCCTGTTTAGCGGGAGGGGTGGACGCAGCAGCCTGTTCTTGGGGCGAAACGGGCTCGTGGGCTGGCGCGGCACACGGGGGCCGGCGTCGGCGGCGCCTGCGGCTTCCTGCTTGTCTGCAAAGCAGGCTAGGTAGGGGTTGCGGGCGCTGGGGCCTCCACCAAGCCCCCCCCCCAGCAGCAGCATTCGGAGCCTTGGTTCCCCCACAAATCCCTTCCCACACGCACGCGCCCGAGCACACCCCAAACACAACATTCACGCCGCCACCTGCACTCATTCCCTCCCCCCTCACGAACCCCGCGGGACGCCCTGCACCGACCCGGCCGCCTCGCACCGCAGCCGACGTCTACAGGGCGGGGTGCAACGTCTGGTCGCGCTACGTGCACACGATGGAGGCCAACGCCGACATCGTCGCCGCGTCGCGCGCCGCGTACTACGGCGGCGGCTCGATCAACATCACGGAGGACGCGCGGCCCCGCATGGCGCGGCTGCACCGCGTGAACCAGGCGCTGGTCGCGGCGCAGCTGCGGCTGGACGAGCAGGCGGCGCTGTTCTCGGACTTTTCGCACTTTGTGGCGCCGTGACATTGATGGCGCGCGGCAGGCGGGGGTGTGGGGATTGTGATTATGCCTGGCCAGTCGGCCGGCCGCCTCGTCCCCTTGCACGTTTGTGTTCGTTTCTGCCAGCGCGCCTGCAGGCTGGGGCGCTCTTAAGGGGTGCCCGGCGGGCTGCCGGGCCGCCCACGCAACGTGCTGCGTGCGGCGGCGCACCGGTGCGGCTGGTCGGGTGCGCGGCGGGGTGATGCGGGCTGCTTCGACGCGCGCCAGCCCTGCGGGGTCTCCAGTGGGCCCCTCCTGTGTAACTGCACACGCTCGCACGGACGTATCAGCGGCTCGGCGGCATGCATCTGTGTGTTTGGGCTGCGGGTTGCGTGTGCTGTGATGGCGCCAGAGCCCGGCTCGTTGGGCTTTGCATGTTCAAATGGTGGGCATCGGCTCAGCGGGCACCAACGCGCTGAGCGCTTCGCCGACGCCATGGTTTGTGCCGTTGTAATGCGAGAAGAGAAATTACCCCACCATAATCCAAGCACAGAACCATGAGCTGTGGTCACCATCGGACGCCAATCCAAGCTTTTGATTCATTTCCAGGCCTTTAATTGAATGAGTCAAGCGCGTGCCAGGGATGTGTGTGGACTGGTTACAGAATCCAGGGTGCACAATCAAAGACACGACCACTGAAAACTCTCAATGCACCACAAATACGTCCTAGCAGCCGGGCGCAGGCAACTTGCTGGTTGCGCGACCTGCCACAGCACCAAGGTATTTATTTTACCCCTGCCACCAAACCCTCTCAGGTTGTCGGGGTGCTGCCACGGCAGCTGGGGAGTTGCAGCATCAGCCCTGGAACCAAGCCTGCACCCGAGCACTACTATTGACACTCCAGCCCAATTGAGCGACAACACGGTGTGATGGTGGCATGGCGTCGTCCCGCACATATGTAGATACACGAAAATCTACGCGCCCAAGAGCGCCCCAAAGCGATCCTCACGCTGCCCAATGACACACATCGCAAAATATCGCGCGGCAGCTGCTGAGCGAAGAGTGGCCGCCCTGCGCCGCCAAGCCCAGACCTGCAAGGGCATGAATCGAGCTTCATCCTGCATACGAGCTTATGTGTGGCCTCCTTGCCAGGAACGCCGGTGATGAGGTCACGCAGTCTTTGAGTCCGAGGTCGCGGTTTTGGGGCTCCGCTACTGACAACGGACGTCCCCATTACCCGTGAATAAATGATTTGACATACCATAATCCATGCGTTTTCTCACGATTGTTCGCCTCTTTGTGAGACCTCCACTTGATCACCAGTTGCCACAACTGAGACGACAGCCGCGCCTGGGCTGCTGATGTCCCACACCGCCGCGCCGCCTGCTAATCCGCCTCAAGCAGCAGCCATGGCCCGCACCGGCATGATGCTCTTTTGCTGCGCCTTGCTGGTCGTCGCCGCTGTCACAATCACGCGTGAGCGCAGCGCGAGCCCGTACGAGGTTGCGCGCGCCGCCGCGTCATTGCTGCTGGCCACTTGGCCGCCCTTGCCGCAGTGCAAACGCTCAGATGTGGCCAACGGCGGCATGCATTCGCAATGATTGTGCATTTCTGGGCTCCATGCCTTCCCATGCAGGGCAGTCCTGGCCCCCTGTGTTGACCCCCGGGGTGTAGTACGTGGCTGCAGCCCCTCGAACTGCGTGTGCACTCTCGACATACACTGGCCCGCCAGCCTCCCCTCGTGAAAACCCTTCCTGCCTGCTGTACCCCTAACCCGCGTTGACGCCGCAGGCTCAGAGCCCCTCGCCCGGAGGCTTGGTGGGCTGCACCTGCAGTGACTCTGCGCCCGTGCAGCGCCTCGCTCTGCCTGCTTTGGCACACAGAGCAGTAGGGATTTCGCCCTGTGGTTCAAGCTCGTAGGTTGTGCATGGGCCCTGCCAAATCAGAGCGATCTGCTTGATGGCGAGAAGCATCAGACGTGCGTGGCGGTGTTTGCTCATTCCCCTTGCTCCCTCACCCCATGCGGCCAACCACGCCATGCCTCTGCAGCTGACAAGTGCACCGACAAGAGTGAGCTGACCAGGCCGCCTGCAGGCTGGCTGCAGGGCAACCCCCGCAATGAGCACGCACGGGCGCAGTGCCGCATATTCCCGCCGCCCTCTGCTGCGAAGTCTCTGCTGCCTGCCCCACGTATCGACGGTCTTGCAATCGCAAGCTGCCAATATGAAGAACTTACTGCTGCCACCTCTTGCCACTGGCAGTCCTGCAAAATGCCAGCCGCCGCCATCCATCAGCCTGCTCTCCATCACCATCCCTTCAATCCCCCTCCCCCACCCGCTCGACGACCGGTCGGCTCCCAAGTCACCTGCAACGACGGCGCGCCGCCACCCTGCAAGAACGGCGTGGGCATGACCATCACCAACCCCTGCATAGACGGCACCACCCAGATCTATTCTTATCAAGGGGGCACTGGTGATCGGATTATGACAGAATTGGGGCGGTCACGCGTGCGCTGGCCGATGGGACGCGGCTGATTATTGCCGCACCTGTCTACTATGTTGCCTGCGGCGTGCGTGCCCGGGCCGCATTCTGGGCGCGTGCAGCCGCCTCTGTGCATTCGTGCCGTGCCGGGGCGCCTGTCGACGATGACCTGAGCATGAAGGACAGGGCTGCGGGGCTGGCGTTTGCAAGGTCGTGGTGCACATGTTGGGCGACCAGCGGGCAGCTCCGTCGCCGTCTGCAGCCGCCGCGAGCTGCACCTGCAGCAGGTTGCTGGCTGCAGCAAACTGCGCCATTCCTTCCAACTCACCAGAATTTACTCTCAACTGCTGATGGGGCGGGCCTGGGGGAGCGGGGGATGTCAGTGTCGCTGGCACCACTGAACCCAGCTGCCCTATGCTCACTGCAATCTTCCCTTACAACCCGCCCGTCTACATGTCGGCCCACTCCCAAGGCGACGACTGCAAGTCTCAGAGTGAGCCGCCGCCGCCGCCCGCCCCCAGCAGCGGGCTGCAAATGGCGAGCTGCAAGGTGTTGCACACATTGCCCCGCCTGAGGCGCCGGCATCCCCTTTTTGGCGCGCCGCGTCCACCCCGCGCCATCCGCCGATGGGAGGCGTCGCCACGAGATGCGCCATCCCCATTCACACCCACAGAAGCGCGCCTTGTTGCCACCAATCCTCCCGCGTCTGCACAGTAGTCCCCGGCCAACCTGTGTATCGAGTCCTTTGCCCTGTTTCGTGCCCCGAACCATGCACGCCCACCACTGCACACAAACCGCCCGCAGTCTCGTGTGCCGACGGCGCCCCGCCGCCGTGCAAGAAGGGGGTGCGCACCACCGTCACCAAATCGTGCGGGCCCAATGCGCACCAGACGGTCTCCTTCAGCCAGGACAGCCAGGAGAGCAGCGGCAACGATGGGGGCGACTCCGGCGATGACTACAGCGGCGACGTCTGAAAGCTGCTTGCTGGGTGAGCCGTTTGGTGATCAGCGCTGCTAAACAGTACTATTGTGCATGCGTTCTGTCAGCGACAGTGCGCGCGTCCAGGGGAAGCATGCACGAGGGCACTGCGATTGCTAGCAAACAGGCCGTCACATGTCTTCTGCGCTGTTGCCCTGCATGTGACGCTGCGCTGTCGGAGGTGCTTGTTCGCATCCGTGTTGTGAAAAGCGCAGCAATGAGGAATATTGAAGGTTCGCACATATACAGCGGGGTCGCTGCAGCTATGACTGGGGGAGGGGGGGATGAATTGCCCAGACAGCCACCCCGCCGCTGCAGAACGGATCGAGCTGCCTTGTTATCGACTGTGTAACCACATCCAACGTCCCCTGCCCCTCCCACGCATCCCCTTGTGTCCCTGGGCCCGCACCTTGGACACACTGCAGCTGCTTGAGAGACCCATTGTGAGCTGCGTTCCCTGCCCCACGTCAACGCCGCCAAAAGCGTCGCGACATTTGCTGAATCATCCAGCAAGCTGCTTCAGAAGTGGCCCGGCGCACCTGTCCTTGACAATTGGCAGGCGCCTGCATTTTGAACGACTTCATTTTTGAATTGCCAGGCACAAGATATACGTCCTCAGCTTTGCTTGATTTTATCAGGGTTTGTGTTGCCTGGATTTTGGCTGTTTTGGCACTAGCCTCGTATGCGTTGTGAATCACAACTTGTGATACAAAGCAAGTTGCAAGGAGAGTGGCGATGCCGTGCCAGCCGCCCTTTGTTTTGTAGGCCGCTTGGCATCCGAGAGCATCGGAACGCACAGCTGCTCGAGTGTGTGGTGTTCAGCCCCTGTCTGGCTGCTGTTGCTTGAATTGCCTGTCAGAGTTGTAATACTGCTTGACGGCAATCACAACAGAGTTGCCAGTGCACAGGGATGCAGGCAAGCAAATGTTCAGCCAACACCTGCAGTCCAAGTGTTGGGCCCCAGAGTGCTTGATGACCAACATTGTTGCCCTACAGTACTGTAGTACAACCGCAAGGACAGGGGTTGAGTGGACAGGGGCGATGACAAACACATCTCAAAATTAATGCAATGCTGTTGGCAGCAATTGCAAGCTGTGCTTCGTGACCACATGACTGCTGCGGCGATACTCTCGGCACGGCTGCGACTGCACGGCGCTGGCAAGCAAGCTACTGCACATGCGTGCCTGCCATTGTCTAAGTATATACACCAGCTTGGTTTTTTTGGTTACATGTGTATGTTGAGCTGTGCATGTTTTTACCTTGTAAAGCATGACAGCGAGGAAGCACGGGCTGCCAAGGTTCTGGATTCTGCTGCCAGGTGATAGCAGAGCTTTCCGAAACAACAGTCACGCACTGCCTTGCCGGAACCCTCTGTAAACCTTCGTCGCAGGTGCACACATGAAAGGGTCCTGGCGGCTTCGTTGTGTAGGCTGGGTCCTGGGTGTGCACTTGCTAAAGGAGCGTGGACGCCGCACGCGCGTCTGGCGTGCTGCGTGCGCATACCAAGTCGATCAATTGAAAGCAGAATGCACTGTGCCTTGAACGTGCTGCCCCTGGCTTTCTGGCTAGCTCAAATCAAGTACGTAGATGCCAGCGCACACAGTGTCTTGGCGCGAAAGCATTATCGAGGCCCACTCTGTGCACCCAAAACCAATGCAAGGAACGGAGCCTTGTGCAAGCCTTGCTGCAGCAGGGCTCACTGCGCGCAGCACGGACGGAGAATCAATTAAACGGACAGAGCCGTCGGCGGCTTCCCAGCACTGCTGCTGGAAGTGATGTAAGGGGACTGCGTTGAAGGCATGGGAGGTCGTGCAGCTGCACTGCTGATTAGTACGGCCACACCTGCAGGCGGAGTGGCGAATTGATCTGCGACGTGCCGATGGCCCCCAGGCTGGTCGCGTCTGTCGCGTCCACAGTCGAGCACAAGGTCAGGTCGGCGGGATTCTGGCAGACAACCAGGGGGTTGCTGAGCTTGGTCATGTACGCATGCGCGCCGCTGAACGACACGTCCCAGACAGAGTTGTACATGCCGAAGCCACTAACAAGGGGGCCGAAGGTGCTGGGCGCGTGGGACATCGAGCAGTTGGTGAGCTGCGTTTGCGATTGTGTGGGCGCGGGGAGGGCGGAGCGGTGAGAAGCAAGCGCTGGCGGGGCCGACGTCTGTCAATGTAAGCCGATGCTCTGCCTTCAGGTGGTTCATGGCAGCATTACAGCCAAGCACTCAGCGATGCCCGCCATGGGAGCCTCTGCAACACACAATGAGCCTCTGCAATTGGCCCTTGCCACCCACCCAGACTGGATGGCCAGCTGAGTGATCCTCTGCATGCCCCCGCCCTTGGTCCCCCCGCCCTGCCCCTTGGGTACTCACCCCAACCGGGTCTTGGCAGATCGTGATGCGGTTGTCGCCCGACAGAGTGCCAGTGATGTACACCCTCCCATCGAAGAATGTCACCGAGTTGCCTTCCGTCAGGGTGCCCTCCGCGGTGTTGGTCGCGCAGTTGAGGAGCTCGCCCGCGGGCCCGACGTCGCAGACCACGACGGCCTTGTAGTTCCCCCGGCAGGGGATGTACGCCTTGCCGTTGGAGAACTTCACGTCATTTGGCTGCGCCATGTACTCCCCGGGGGCGCCCATCGTGGTGCCGTCGGGGTCGCGGCCGAGCTCCTTGGAGCAGCCGCCGGCCGCCGGCAGGCCCGTCGCGGGGTCCATGCGGCACACCAAGACGTAGCCGACGTTGGTGCCGATGTCGGCCTCGCGGTCCGCGACAAACATGAAGTCGGTGCCGTTGATCGAGGCAAAATCGATCCCGAAGGGCTCCGATAGCAGCGCGCTCGCGGTCGTAGCGTCCTGGCAATTGGTCAGGTCCGCGGGGTCCTCGCAGACGAACAAATAGGCGGGAGTGGGGGGCGTGGTGTACGTCCTGCGGGTGCCGACCAGCAGGTAGGCGCGGCCCTGCCAGAACCGCATGGTGCGCGGGCCCTGCAGGGGGGAGGGGTTCCAGGTGGACGGCCCCGCGGCAATGAGCGAGCAGTCCAGGAGGTTGATGCCGTCCCTGCGCACAAGAGGTGGGGTGGGGTGGGG